GGGCTGCCTTGAAAGCCTCTCCTCTTCAGTCCCTCGTGCGTCTGTCTCTGAGCTCTTTACCCTTCCATGGGGGGTGTTGGTTGCCTGGCTGGGACTTATGAGGGTCATATGTGTGTAATTGAAGCTGCTTTGATTTCAAGGCATCAAGGCCACATTATGCTCAGAGGACAGAGTTCCATAACAGTTGGCTATTGATAAATGGTGAAGTACTTTGGCACAGGAGGGCAGTTCATCAGGAAGATGAATCGTTACTTCCAGATTTCTTGGAGTTAAGAGGCCAGGAAGTGTAGGAGAAATGGGAATCAATGGCCCTGGTAATCTGCTCTGTGGCATTTAAGTCAGGGTATTGAAGGGAGCAGGCAAAAGCACCTTGGCCTGAGTACTGACATTTTTACTTCAGACTCTATTTTACCTGTAGGGTGAAATAAAGTTCAGGTTCCCAAGCCCTAGGGGAGCTGAGAACTTTCCAATGACTGATCAACCTCCTCCCTAAACCATAGAAATAGCTGTTATGCATCTTTAGTTCTTTAGAAACACTATGACTGTTCTCAACAACACAAGGAACAAATCAATCTGATTGGTTGGACTGAAAGGCTTGCATTGTCTATTGGTCGACAATGATGGAACATTCAAGGGAGCCCCTAATCTCTAAATTCTGATTGGTGAAAATTGTAACTGTTACTTGACAACAAGTGTTTGTGAATTTTCTGTTTATAAACCTCACTTCTGCCCCTGCTCAGGGCTGTCAGGAGAAACAAGGCTCCTGAGTCCTTGACCTGCAGCCCTGATCGATCAGTGAGCTGATTATGTGGTGATTTAATAAAATCTTTGGAACCCATAAGTATTGTTTCTCTCTTTCCTCAAGGTACCTAACGGGCAAGGTGTAACAGGGTCAGCAGCGTACCATGTTCGGGAAGAGGAAACATGGTCTGGGGGTGTGGCTCAGTGGTATAATATGAGCTTTGCATTTGTGAGGGCTGGATTGGACAAAAACTAACCCAACAAAAATAATGCGAACAAATCTTTGTTGGTTTTGCTGGCAGCTGCTGATTAATCTAGCATCTACTTTCTTCTCAACATCATCCCCTCATGCCCTTGTATTTAAATTTAGAACACCTAATTTTTTCCTTTCGTCATTCTCCATAGCACTGATTCATGACAAATATTAGATAAGCTTAAATATGTTAATAAAATTTATTCAAAGCATCTGTTAAGTGTGAGGTTCTTGGGAAGATATCGATATTAATTAAACCAATTTCATGGTCCCAATAGAGCCAGCACATTTTTTAAAATGCTGTTGTGGTTTAAATGAAAAATGTCCCCCATCGTCTTGGGCACTTGAACATTTGCCCCAGTTGGTGGCACTGTCTGGGAAGGTTTAGGCAGTCTAGCTTTGCTGGAGGAAGATGTAACTTGGGGTGGAGTGGGGGGTGGGCTCCCATTCATGTACACAGTGGAAATACAACTCGCATCTGTTCCCAGCAAGTACAGTGCGCTGGATGTAAGAGAAGCTACTGTTCTTATCAGTTTCCTGAGCAGAGTTGAAAAAGATATGGCCTGTGTTTCTAGGAAGCACAGTTCTTTTGTTCGGAGCAAGCTCACTGTTCTGGTCGCCTTGGAGCCAGAAGTCTTGAGCAACTTGCACCTCACTCTCCCTGCTTCCTGTTTGCAGTGGAGGATGTAATCTCTCAGCTCCTGCTCCTGTCCCCAGGCATGTAACTTCCTGCCACGTCTCCTTGCTATGGTGGATTCCTAGTCCTCTTGAACCGTAAACCAAAATAAGCTCTTTCTTAAGTCGCCTTGGTTTTGGTATTTTACCACAGCAACAGAGAAGTAGCTAAGACAAATACACAAAGCAAATCATAACCCAACTAAAACATTATGATCAATTTAATATCGGAATATATTCTGTAAACAGTGAACTGAGTTTCCAGTTGTTTCTTTAGAAATTTGCTATAGCAGATGTCACTTGGGATAAGCTCTTAAAAGTATAATATAACCACAGAGTAATTGATTAATTAGTCAACTGTAGACTGAAGTCCAGATGCGAAGTGGCTGATTAAGTGGCAAGAACATTTTACTTGATTTATTTATTGGGGGTGTGGTGTGTGCATAAATGATGTGTGGGTGAATGCACACCCCCCACGGTTCATGTGAAGAGATCAGAGGACAACGTTTGGAAACCAGGTCTCTCTCCCCACCATGTGGGTCCCTGGGGATTGAATTCAGGTGGTCAGACTTGCACTGTAAATGCTTTTACCAATGAGCCATCTCATGGCCCCTGGTATGAACATTTTAAAGGCTTTGTACATATCTATTGCCAAGGGGCTTTCCAAAAAGTGGTGACAATTCAGCTTCCCACAGTGTAGACATGTGCTGTCCTCTGAATCCTTGCTCCTGTCGGAGATGAAGTAATGATGTAATGATATAAGGGATGTAAACTTTAAAAAATACTATGTCATTGTTTCCATTTGCGCTGAGTACCTTTTCGTTTGTTCGGTTTTGATGTTCCGGAGTGTTGGAGATAGAACTGAGAGCCTCATGTACGCAGGGAAGTCATCAGACCCTCACCTGACACTCAGCCACCACTCCCTCCTACCCAAGGCTACATGTGCTCCTGGGAGACAGATTTGTGGGAGAGCAGGAGATGGAAAGCTGGCTGGACTAGGAACTGAGGTTAACGCAGCTTTCTTGAGTTAGAACCCAAAGCTAATCGGCATCCTCAGCCCCATTTTGATGACAAATAGAGTATTTAGACAAGTAGATAAGGAAATAGAAATGTATCCAGGTAAACAAATGCTAAGCTCAAAGGATGGGTGATTTCCTCAGCTGAGCTCAGTCAAAGCAGTATACTACGGAACAGAAAAGCCAAGGGAAGAGATTTAGAGGGCTGAAGCAAGACAGCATTGCTAGAATAACAATGTGCAAGGAACATTTACTCAGAAAAATAGCCTCTGCTGCTTATGTTCCAAAAGAAAGGGAGCGTGTTCACTGGAACCCTTTTTTTTTGTGAGCGGGCTCTAAATAAGGTAACAGATGCAAGAAAAGTGCAGAAAAGGAGATTAATACGGCATTGTGTGCATTCTATGCTTTTAAAAGGTTACATAATTTCAGGGCTGATGAGATGGCTCAGTGAGCAAAGGCACATGCCACCAAGTCTAATGGCTTGGATTTGACCCCTGAGACCCACGAGGTAAACGCAGAGAGCTGATTCTTGCAAGTTGTCCTCTGACCCCCGCATGTGTGCCATGGCCTACGTGCCCTCCCCATCATAAATATAAATAAAAACTGCAATTCTAAATGATCGTACCACTTCACGTACTCACTGTAAGTCTATGGGACACATTGGCCACTGTGGAAAGTCCATCAAAAGACCAAGTCGGTAAGTGATAGTTATGAACAAGGCTGATAACGCTCTACCACCCAAGGGTTTAGGTGTGCTCTAGCAAGACTCAACATGGGACTTTTACCAAAGCAACCACAAGGGTGAAACCAGTCAATCCAGTACTACTTACCATACTTAAACGCCTTGAGGAAAAGTCTGGGAAACCCTACCACGGTGCATAGCTAACATACCAAACATACCATAACCACATATTCAGCAACAGAACACAGGAATCCCATGGTGGGGCAGATATACCCATTGCAACAAATCAGAATTATGTGTAAAATACTTAAGTGTATACATCCTGAGGTGATGTTTATATTACAGAATATTGTAAAAGCCGGCATGATGGCCCATGCTTGTGACCCTAGCATTGGGGATACTCGAGGCCAGCCTGGGCTACATAGTGAGCTGTTGTCTGCAAAAAAGGAAGAGGGGAAGAGGGTAAAAAGGACAACAAAAATGGTTTTATGCTCAAGTATAGGGTTTTTGTTTTGTTTTGTTTTGTTTTTTGAGACAGAGTTTCTCTGTGCAGCTTTGGAGCCTGTCCTGAATCTCACTCTGTAGACGAGGCTGGCCTTGAACTCACAGAGCTTTGCCTGGCTCTGCCTCCTGAGTGCTGGGATTAAAGGCATGCGCCACCATCGCCCGGCTCAAGTACAGTTTTTACAAATGTTTTATTTTTTAAATATACGTTCAAAAGAAGTTGTAATAAATAAACAAGTACATATGTCTACTACCCTTCATTGTTAAAATATTTTACGGCCTAGTGGTTAAGAGTGTATACTGCTCATGCAGCAGACCAGAGTTCAGTTCCCAGCACACACATCAAGTGGTTCACAACCGCCTGTAACGCCAGGTCCAGGGCATCTGACACCTTCTTCCCACACAGAGACACAGACATATGCACACAACTTTGAAACTTAAAAGTTTTTAAAATTAACATTTTCAAGACTTATAAGACAATGTCAATACGAGAATCCGGAGACTCGTGTACTCTGGACAGCGTATTCAGTTTCCATCCTCTTATAACAGGTGGTGTGCATGCACTTCTATGCAAGCTTATCTACAGCTACCCCATCCCCACAGAGTTGCCTCCCACTGCCTGTTACAAGCCCACATCCACGACTCCTGGTCATCGCTGACCTGTTCACCATAATTACAATCTTGCTGTTTCAGAAATGTACTCGTACTAATGACTTTTCTCAATGAGATGATAAGATAACCTGCCAAAAGAACTTAAGGAAGGAAGGCTTCTTTCGGCTCGCAGTGAAAGAGCACATTATCCATCTTGATGAGGAAGTCACAAGTGAAGGAGTTTGGGGCAGCAGGTCACGTTGCATCCGCAGGAAGAAAGCCCCGAGAGAGGAACGCTGGAGCTCAGATCCCTTTCCCTTTTATTCATTGGACTCTAACCCGTGGACTGGTGCCGCCTGTGGTTAGGGTGGAACTCTCATCTCGGCTGTCACAATTCCCTCCTACACATGCCCAGAGGTTTGTCCTCGGTAATTCTAGATCTTCAGGTGGTAATGATCATTACTAACCATCACATTACATAAATGGGATGTACATTAGCTAACCCTAGGGATTAGCTTTTGCTGCGCACACTAATTACCTTGATGGATCCCGGTTGCGTGTATTGCCGCTCCATCTGGTTTATGGCTGAGCAGTGTTCTGTGGTATAGCCTGGTTACAGCTTAACTGCGCACTCACTGGAGAGCTGTTTCCTACTGTTGGTTCTTCATCACAAAGCTGCTACGAGCCTTGAATATAAATATCTGGAGCAGAACTCCGCCGGGCATGACATGACCCTCTACCACCTTGAGTCAGAGCAACTGTGGTCACCCTCATAGAATCAGGACTATTACTATTTCCTCATAGAAGGATGAGTGGCGAGGAGGTCATCAGACTCTCGCCTGAGATCCGGCTATCTACCCCCTCCTACCCACCCCACAGGTTCCCGCAGTCTGGTGTATGTGCTAGGGTGTACAGGAGACAGAAGGCTGCCTGGATGTGTAACTATAGTGATGCAGCCTCCATGAGTCAGCACCCATACTGGGCAGGGCTTTCAGCAAAGCAGGTGCCTGGGAGTCATCTGTGCCCCTGTAAGTAACCCCAATTAACTCACTGGTTCACCAAGCTGGTCTTGGATGGGAGCCATTCTTCGGGGTGTCAGTGCCTACCTAGGGTTAATAGATGTTTCTTTACATCTCCCACACAACACTTATGTATAGGGTTTGCAAAAGTGTGTTTTATTTTTTGGAAGTGAATGTCAGAGAGCAGTTACTGATTTATTCTGTTAAGTGCATGTTTGTCTTCTTCTTTTTCCTCTTCTCTCTCTCTCTCTCTCTCTCTTTCTTGAGACAGAGTTTCTCTGTGTTGCACTGGTGGTCCTGGAACTCACTCTGTAGACCAGGCTGCACAGAGATCCACCTGCCTCTGCCTCCCAAGTGCTGGGAATAAAGGCGTGCACCACCACACCTGGCTTCATGTTTAACTTTTCAAGAAGCTAGTAAACCACTTTCTTGAGTGGCTGAACCATTTTATACTGGTTGGCAGGAAGAGTTTTCTCTTTACCTTCCCTAGTTCTTTGCTGGGATGGGTTCCTATAAAAAAGATGGCTGGGTGGTGATGGTGGTGCACACCTTTAATCCCAGCACTTGGGAGGCAGAGGCAGGTTGACCTCTGTGCAGCCCGGTCTACAGAGTGAGTTCCAGAACAGTCAGGGCTACAAAGAGAAACCCCATCTAAAAGTGTATTAATAAAAGGAAAACAATTAGAAGTTTATTAACTTGTATACTTCATTCAAGATACTCAAGCATATGAGTAAACCTCAAAGAGGTGGTTTTGAATTCCTGTTTAAAGGTGCTGTCTGGGAGCTGGAGAGATGCCTCAGCTGTTAATGGTGCTTGCTGTTCTTGCAGAGGACCAGAGTTCAGTTCCCAGCAGCCACACTGAAGGGCTCACAACCACCCGCAACTCCGGCTCCTGAGGATTCGACATTGTATTCTGTCCTACGGTGTTTGAGTCAGGGTTTCACTGTGCAGCCCTGGCCATCCTGGAACTTTCTAGGTAGACTAGGCTGGCTTCAAACTCTCATTGATTTACAGACATCATCTTCCTGGGTCTCTCTTACAAACAGAGCTCTCCCTTACAGATATAAACTGCTCTTAAAAGACAAAATTCTGCTCTGTTTTTAGAACTTTTCCTGGGTCTATAGTTTCACATAGTTTCAGCTGATTATCTCAAAATAATCTGTATGCTAAAGGGGACCATTTGGAGCATCACATTCTGGTCTCCTATGGCCAGGCTTTGAGGTGGCATGTTCTGGTGTCTCATACAATGGAGGAAAAGGCAGCTTCATCGCGTTTTTCCAGCATTTTATTCAATCTTTATTTTTTTATCTTAGTCATGTTGACTGGTGGGTGGTGACTTCTCATTGTGGCTTGACTTTGCATTTCCACAATGGCTTATGATGATGAATGCCTTTTTTTGTATTCTTTATCATTTGTCTATGCTTTCCAGTGAGATCTCTACATCCCAGAGGGATTATTTGTTGACTATTGACTTGTGAGGGCTTTTAGTATATTCTAGATATAAATTCTTTCTCAGATAATGTGGTTTGAGAATGCTTTCTGTAGCTCTGTACTTTGACTTTTTTATCATCTTAGCATCTGCTTACAAAAGGAAACGTTTCTTTTGAACAAAGTCCAACGCATCAAGATTCCCTACATGGGCTGTGCTTGTGATATCAAGTCTAAAACTCTTCACCTAGCTCTGTAGATTTCCTCCCATATTTTTCTTTCAAAGCTTTTAGTTTACAGTGCAGTTAGGTTCAAATTCTTCAGCTCCGTGTTGCAAAGCTCACCCCTGTCCAACTACAGAAGCATCTTCAGTCCTGCTATTGAAACATTCCTATCTGGGAAACAGATACAACAGAGGCTATATGAAGAGACATATAAATACCATCTGTCTAAGTAATTTGCGGGAGCAAATATGGTGGTGCCAGCATTTAATTCCAGCACTCGGGAGACAGAGACAGACAGATCTCTGTGAGTTCTAGGCCAGCCTAGTCTACATAGCAAGTTCGAGGTATGTCATGTTGACAACTGAAGCTAATTATGACACTAGTAAAAAGAGTTCTTGATTTTGAGATTTTTCTCTTGTAAGAAGCAAGTTGATTCATAGTTGGATACCTTACAGAATAGATAATGAAAGTAAATAAAGATCTCCTCTATGATCAACCAAAATAGATGGATTTGCAAGGGCAAATGCAAATTACAAGCACCTTTACTAGTTCATTGATATTAATATTTATTAATAGCTAGATCCCCATCAACACATAGGTTCAACCTGCAATAATTAGAAAGACTCTACCTAAAGCAGCCAATACTTAAAATATGAAGTGATTTAAAATACACTCAGCTAGATTATAGACCAGAATGCTAGGTCCACCTGCACTTTCCATATAACAACCTAGCTCTTCTGAGAAATGTTATGGCATTGGTCTGTAGGCAGACTTTTCTGTCTGGCTAGCCAGTTCCCAAATAACTACAAAGAGACAATATTAATTATAAATGCTCAGCTGATAGCTTGGGCTTGTTTTTAGCTAGCTCTTATAACTTAAATTAACCCATTTCTATTAATCTATGTGCTGCCCCAAGGTTTGTTTACCTAATGTACAGATTTCCCATCCTGCTTGCTCTTCATCTCATGGTGTCTCCTCTGACTCCACCATTCTTCTCCCCAGTATTCTCTCTGTCCCGAAATCTTGCCTAGCCATTAGCCAACCAGTTTTTTATTAACAATGAGAGCAACACATCTTCACAGTGTTCACAGAAGGATTATTCCACAGCATTGGTCTGCTTTCCATTGCTGTGACCATTACCTGAGGGAATGACTTAGAAGGAAGGAAGGTTTATTTTGGCATACAGCTTCAGAGGTTTCTATTCACAGTTGTGTAGAACCTTTCCTGGGAGCTTCCATTGTGACCAAACATGTAATGAAATGCATGGTGGAGTAAAGCTGCTGAGCTTGTAGCCACTGGTGGGTCAACAACAGACAGAAAATAGGAAGCAGCAAGGGACAAGAGCATACCTCCAGTCACCACTTCCTCCAACCAGGTCCCACCTCCTCAGATTTTCACCACATCCCAACAATGCCATCAAGTTATGAACCCAACAATAGGTCTGCCCATTGGTGATGTTTGGCCTCTCATGATCCAACCATTTCTCAAAAGCCCATTGACTGATAAAAAAAAGCCTTTATCATATAGTCTTTGTGTGACATTTTAATCCAAACTATCATAGTTACACATGTAGAAGCCAGGAGGGGACATGTAAATGTCAATATCCAAGCTCCTTCCTGGATCCTCACTCAATTTTCTACATTGTTAGGGGTACAGCTACTCTATTTTTTAATATTACTTTAAAAATTATTTTTAATCTAAGATTTGCTTTTACCTAATGAAGTTCAAAGAATGAGATACCTTTGAGGTCGAGTTACTATTTATGAAAGAGTTACATTTTGAGCATTGTCCTAAGTACTCTATCTGCATTGACTCATTGAATCTTCAAACTCTGTGATAATATAGAGATATTTATATAAGACTGACTGTGCCAAGTTATTCCTCATTATATATTTACATGCATCTATCCTTCACCACTACCTTACTGTTGTCAACCCAATTTTATACATAGCATCTGAGTCATGAAAGGCTGAGTTGTTGGCCCAGCATACCTCAGGCTGGGAAGTGGCAGAGTGGTACTCCACTGCCTTTGTACACTGACCACATCCTTCTCAATAGGTGAGGAAACTGAGATGTGGGAAGGCTACGTAAATTCACCAGCAAGTGGGTAGGGAAGGCTAACGTTCAGATTTCAAAAAACTTAAATTTATTCTTCTGATTATTATGATTGTGGCTAATGCACCCCCCCCATACACACAAATACAACATGAAACTTATTATCTTAACTGTTGTTATAGGTTCAGTTCAGTAGTGTTAAACACATCTACGTTGTTGGAAAACAGTTCTACTGAGTTTTTGCATTGAGCAAATGTGACACTCTATGACCATTTAACTTCCCTTTTCCAGCTCCCCACAGCCCATAGGAACCATATTCTACTTCCCTTTCTACTTCTAAGATGGACAGCTCTAGAGACTCCACACAAGGGGGATCATACAGCATTTGTTTTTTTTATGACTGGTTTATTTCATTTAGCATGATGTCCTCAAGATTGATTCATATTGTATGTGGCCTGGGTCTGAATCTATTTCCTTTTAAAGCTGAAGAATATTCAATTATATCTATACATAAATCCAAGTATCTTTGACCCAAATTTTTTCATATAGGAGCATATGTTTATTATAAAAGACAGTAGATAAAATTTAGACAACAGGTTATTTACAAATTAAGAAAACATTCTGCTTCAAAAAGAAAAGGCATAATATAGCTATCTGATCACTAATGACATAATACTTCCAAAATAACAAAGGTAAAATATATATGAAATAGTTGTTGATTTGGGAGGAACAATGGTCTTTAATTTTCAGGAATATTTTGCAATGCTCTCACCATTTACTATGCTGTCATAAGTCTGTAATCCTCAACACATAGAAACCCACACTGTGTGACCTACTTTAATATCCTAATACTTAACAATTCAAGATGCTTCCAATTTGTGTAACATTTATCTGGAGTACTCATACTTGAGTCTCTAAGTTCTTCATGTGAAATGAAAGATTATCTGTAATGTTGTAATTTGTATCTAAGTTTTTTAATGAGTGAAATTTGCATTATAAATTTTTCCATTCACAAGTACGTAAGTGAATCAAAGGATTTTGTCCTCTCCTTTACTGGTTTGCTTTAAACATGTATGCTTGTGCATATGCATGCACACACAATCCCAACACAAAAGATGTATTGCAGAATTATGGTTCTATTTTCTCAGTGTATTAGCTTGGAAATATTTTTAGCTTTATCTTAATGTGTCCGAACAACAGTGTGACAGAATTTTACAGATTTTGTGTCAAAGTCAGCACATCATCCCATAAGTAAAA